TGTGTGTGTGTGTGTATGTTTTCGCTAGAGTTTTCCACACATAAGATAATGCCCTCTTCAAATAGGGATACTTTTATTACTTCCTTTCTGATATGTATGCCTCTTGTTTCATTTTCTTGTCTAATTGCACTGGCTGACACTTTTAGTACTACTTTGAATAAGAAGTGATGAGAATGGCATACTTGCCTTGTTTCTGATCCAGGGAATATATTCAGTCTCTCACTATCAAGTATAAGTTAGTTGTCAATCTTTTGGAAATATTCCTTATCAAATTAAGAAAGTTTCTTTTTATTTCTGAGAGTTTTTAAAATAATAACAAATGGATGCTGAGTTTTGTCAAATGCTTTTTCTACATCAATCGATGTGATCATGTCATTTTTTTTAATACTCTGCCTATATGTTTAAAAGTCATTGGAATGGTTTAATGTAAAAACAAAGACCATTAAAAAAATAACATCATTAAGATAAGGGTTCAGAACTGAAATCACAAAATCAGAAGGAAGGAGGAGGGATCTCCTTGGCTTAGAAAACCTGAAACCAAAGAAAGTGCTGGCCATTGAACACAAAAAACGAACTCTAAACTCTCTGAATTTCATTATTGAGAAATGAATATTTCTTCTTTAGCCTGTTACTATGGTGCATTACGCTGATTGACTTTCAAATACTGAACCAGCTTGTACCCTTGAAATAAATCTCACTTGGTCATTGTGTCTGTATCTTTTTTTTAATGTACATTGCGGAATTCTATTTGCTAATATTTTAAAATTTTTTGCATTAATACTCATGCAGGATATTATTTTTTAGTTTTTTCCTCAGTACTGTGTTTTTGTCTGATATTGGTATCAGGGTAATATTAGTTTCATAAAATGAATTAAAAATTGTTCCTTCCTCTTTTCCTTTGCTAGGTTTATGATCCTTAGTTGATGACAGGTCTTTTCTTTTAGCATTTGAAAGATATTGTGCCACCTCCTCCAGGCCGCCATGGTCTCTGGTGGGGAATCTAGCTTTATTCAAGGTGTGTTCCTCCTACAGATACAAAGAGACAATTCCCACTGCTTTTAAGATTTCCTGTCTTCAGACTTTAAAGTTTAATTATGACTGATCTCGGTATAAATTTTCTTTAGCTTTAACCCCCTTTGGGGCTTCTTCCAGCTTTATAAATCTGTAGGTACCTATGGGCTTCCTAGGATGCCTCATTAAATCTGGGAAGTTTTTAGCCATTTGCATCTTAAGTACTTTTTTGATCCCATTTGCTCCTTTCCTTCTGATGACCCAAATGTAAGACATTTTGATAATCTCATGTGTTTCTAAAATTCTGCTTTGACTTTTAATTTCTGGCAGTCTTTTTTTCTCTTTGTTCTAATCACATAATTTTTATTTCTTTGTTTTCCAGTTCACTGATTCTTTTCTTTGTGCTCTCCATTCTGCTTTTTGAGAACATTCACTGAGATTTTTTTTTTGATTTTCATATTTTTTCAGTTCCACAAATTCCATTTGATTCTTCTTTATATCTTTTACATTGGAATTACAAGTTCAGGTTTTCCACGAAACCTCTTGATACTTGCGTTGTTAGGGGTGTCACAGCTGACTTGTGCTACCGGTTAGAGTGAGCGGCATTTCTGACTTCTCACATTGTCTGCACTGGCACAAAAGGTTGGAGTGCTCATAACTGCCCTGCAAGGATGAAAGTCCTTGTGCCTTATGTAACTTTATAAATGCCCAAGTGGCAGTGCTGGGTGATTCGTTACAGACTGGCATGGATGGAAGTCTCAGCTCCACACTCAGACTTTGCTAGCATGCAGAGGTGTGAGCCTACAGAGCTGTTTTGGTTTTGTTCTGTTTTCTTTTTCTTATGCTGTTTGGCTGAAGTAGAACAGTTACTGTCTAAAAGTTGAAAACAAAGTTATAAATAAGCTAAGATCTTCCCCCACAGAAACCTTTGATACTTGGCCTATCCAGAATCCTCATTATGCCTTCAATCAAACATTTGGAAACCTGCCTTCAAGAGATTCATAAAATCAAATTCACACATTTATATTTTGCAACAACTCTGGTATCCTGTTAACTGGAGTTCATTTAACATTCTTTTCAAATTGTTTCAATGTCTTATTTATTCAGTGTTCTCCTTTTTAATACATGTAAGTCAAATGACGCTAACAAATAGTAACAATAGAATCTATTTCATTAGTTGGTTGGGAAGATTCAATGACACAATGACAAGCACAATGGCATGCAGGAAGGACACAAAAAACGTTAGGCTTATGACTTTTTAGTGTTATTAATATTACCATGTCCTAAGAACTAATCAGAATTTATTCCTGAATTAAACAACTGAGTTAATTCAGGAGTAACTGGTCTCCTTGCCTCTGCTCACCCCATTCTGAGTCAGAGAACTATGGTGGTCTTGTTGATGTATGTGGGCAGAAGTGGTCAGGGCAGAGAAGGCACTGGAGGTTGTGAACTGTGCTCTTTTTGTACTTCACAGATGGAGAAGTGGAGGTCTAGGAGGATGAGCCTCAAGCCACAGAACAGTTCACACCTCCCAACAGTGTAAGGTAATTTTCATTCCCTCTGCTGATACTGATGCACGAACATGGCAAGCCCGTGTCAACTTGCTCGGCCCTTTACCTGTGTCCAAGCTCATGAGCAATGGTGAAGGCCAGAGGGAGTCCAGAGTCTTCATTGATGTTACAACTGCGGTGAGGCTGACACATTCCTGACAAGTGGGACAGACCCAAGGTCACACAGGGGCGATTGACACCAGCACAGATGTCTTTTCTGAAAGCAGATGACAGAGATGTTTTAGGGATCCAAAGAAATATCTAGAAGAAACTTGCTTCCTGGAAACATGTCTAGGTGTAAATTTACATCAATATAGTCTGTAGAACATGCTTAAAATTGTGAAAGCCCCTGTGAATGAAGGGGATAATTTTGAATTCACTTTATTCTGCTTTTACCTCTTAATCATAGTACTTCCCTAACACTTAAAAACTGTGGGGAGATGTGTTAAATATTTATTTTGAGTTCATTTTGCTCTTGATATCAGGAGGCCAAATTAAATGATTTGGCCAAAAAGAGAAGATTTTATTGAAAATTAAAGTTAATTTGAACTTTTAACTCTGGAAGGGACCATCAGAAGTGACTGGGGTTTTCCCAATAATGGAACTTCTTTTTAGTCTTCCTGAGTTCTCTGCTCAAAACTCATCAGGGAAATTGCAAATCAAAACAACATTGAGATTTCCTCTCACTCTAGTCAGAATGGCAATTATCAAGAATACAAACAATAAATAACAAATGCTGGTGAGGATGTGGGGGAAAAGGTAAACTCACACATTGTTGGTGGGACTGCAAATTAGTATAATCACTTTGGAAAGCAGTATGGAAAGTCCTCAGAGACTAAGAATGAAATCACCACTAACCCAGCTATGTGACTCCTTAATATTTATCCAAAAGAACTAAAATCAGCATACTCTAGGGATACAGCCACATCAACGTTTATAGCCGCACAAGTCACAATAGCCAAGCAGCAAACACAATCATGGCATCTGTCGGTCTAAGAACAGAACTGGAGAACATCGTGCTACGTGAAATAAGCCAGACTCAGAAAGTTAAGGGTTAAATATTCTCTCATATGCAGAGACTAGAGCAAAATAAGGGGAGAATGGGGAGACCCCGTGAAATTAGAGGGCAAATCAATGGAGTAGAGGAAGGGGATTAAGGGGGAATGAGGAGAGATAGGAAAAGAAAGGAACTGAAACGAAATTGACCAGATTATGTTGCGTCCATTTATAAATCTGCCACAGTGAACTCCACCTTTGTGTACACCTGTAAAGCATCAACCTAGAGATAACAGTGAAGTGGATGAATGAAGGCAGGATGGTGAAGTAGAGTGCAGGGAGAGGGAGGGAGTCCTGGGGACTGAGGTGGACCGAATTTCATTCCATGCATGTATGCTATGTTGGAATGGACCCCACTGTTAGGTGTACCTATGGGACACTAATGGAAACAGTTTAAAAGACCTCAATGAAGAATTTCTTTTACTTATGAAAAAGTTGATTGTTTCTATCATACAAAAATTAAATCAACTGTCTAGCCCCTGCACACTCTCAATACTTCCCACAAGAGGAAGTGCACGCGCTCTACCCCTCACCACACACACAAACTCTCTCCAATCTTGCTGCTTCTTGTAACCAGTAATTCACTATTTACTGACCCTGGAAAAAGAGAGGAAGGTTCCTAGGACCTCATAAAAATAGTCACAACTTTTAAATATAAAAAATGTGCCCTCATTCTATCATGGATTATTTCAATCACCGACAAGAGTTTTGGAAGAGTAATTCATTGGGCATTTGAGTTTCTTCAGTATAAGAAGAACTCTTGGCCAATACTTCTTGACTAGCATGAATCCAATGAAGTCCTGAGCTTTATATAATTAAGGTTAAGTCCTGCCCTCAATGGCAGCAGCTTCTGGGTGGCTCATTGAGCTATGCCATACAACCCAATCATTTAAATATTTCTATAGGAGAAACAATTGAACATGCTCCTATCTCTTCTGCAGGATGCACATGTTACTATTTCATTCAAAAAGTGCAGGTCTTCAGGGAGTTTCTAGGGAAGATGCATGGCACTCAGTTCTACTCCACTGACCTTCTCAGGTTCATATGGCAAGAGGTCGTGCCCACTAGGTAATTGTTCATGGAGAGCCTACTAAGTGTTTAGCTTTAAAGAGTGGGGAGAGGAGGTACTAAAACATTGTAGGAATATGGTTCTTTTAGGTAAGGGGCTTCAGCCTCCACGAGGAGATTAGCTCACCCTCCACTGAGCACCAGGGACAGTATATAAGAGAAAATATGCCTTGGAATGCCACCACTAGCTGCCAGTGCAAACACATGGACTATGTTCCTAGCCAAATCCACCTTCTCTTGAATACAGCTCTTTAGAGAACTCTGTTAATGTGGATCTCAGACTAGTCTGTACTGGCAAAACTCAGTCTCATATCTCCTTTTCTCCCTGATACCACTAATTTTTTCAGGCCAACGGTTTTCAAAATGGTTTGGGTGGAGCAGGGAGGTGATTTTGCTTTTCATACCTTCCAAAAGGATGTTTGTCAACATCTGGAGACAGTTTGGATTGTCACAACTTGTATGAGGATGCTATAGGCATCTCATGAGCAGAGGTCAGAGATGCTGCTAAATATACCACAACACAGAAGATAACAACCCACGAAACAGAATTATCCAGCCCAAAATGCCAATATTACTGAATTTTCTTTTAGAACTTGAAAGTTTTTCCACTTCTAAGAAGGCCCTGGGAATGGGTTGTCCTGTGAAGGTCAGTCTTCCTTTGAATACCTTGGCTCTGTCATCATGCAGTGCAAAGAATGTCTACAGGAGATGAAAATCAGTCCCCATACTCTCCAAACACCTGCCTTACTCTGATCAGAAACTCCAACCATCAGAATCACTTTTTCAAGTGAAATTATGAAAACCTGGTTAAATGCAAATATGTTCCCAGGGAAATCTTTAGCACAAACCTATAATAGTAGGTTCATTGGGTTCTGTGACACCTTGGATTGATCAGTAGTTCTCCCAGAAAATAGGTTGGTGCGGATGTGGAATGTAGCACAGGGGCTCTGGTTCTCTGTGGCTGAAGGGTAGGGCCCAGAGGCTTTTTCTACTGTATATTTTTGATTTATGAATGCCTCTGAATCTGCATAGGATGCCCAGAAAACTAATTTATCCCTTTTAGAATATAAACTCTTCTATAGTGCCTGGCACACAGTACTGCTACTCCACTGACCTTCTCAGGTTGATATGGCAAGAGGTCGTGTCCACTAAGTAATTGTTTATGGAGAGCCTACTAAGTGTCTAGCTTTAAAGTGGGGGGCGGATGGGGGAAGAAAGTAATAAAAAATTGTAGGAATATGGTTCTTCCAGAGTAGGGGTGGGTGAGTTCAATACATTTATTAGTTCATTTATTAGCTCAATAAATGGTTTAGGCATAAATAAGAAAACAGACTTCAAAGGACCTGGGCTGACCAGGAAAATTCTCTGGCTTTTCACAGTTATGAGTCCTGGAAGGCTTGATGGTTTTTATTAGTACCACAGGGTCTATGTGTGATTAGAACAGAACCATATTGTTATGGGGATAAAAGGGAGAAAGGTATAACCAAACTACTCTGCCTACTCAATGGAGCACCTGTTCCTTATATCTCAACAACAGTTAGCATGTGTTTGCTTTGTGCTTTAAAAAAGAAAATAGATTTCTGTAGAAAAAGTTGCATTTTATTAATTGGAGAATTTTTTAAACATAAAAATAAAGAATTGGAAATCCCACTGATTTAAAGTTGCAGAAGTCTTTAAAACTTCTTATTGATGCATTGCAATTATATGTAATAGTGACATATTTATATAGGCACATAATGTAATTTGATCATTTTCTTCCCCAGTACCTCCCCTTTCCCCTTCACCTTCCTTCCCCTGAAACTCTTCTTTAATCTACTGGTCTCCCTTTTATTTACAGGAGATCCCTTTTCCCTCTTTTTTTTCTTTCTACTTTCCACACATAAGAGAAAACATACAACCCTTGACTTTCTGAGTTTGGTTTATTTCACTTAACATGATGTTCTTTAGTTCAATCCATTTTCTTGAAATTGATATAATTTCGTTCTTCTTTGTAGCTGAATAAAACTCCACTGAATATTTATACCACATTCTATTTATCCATTTGTTTGTTGATGGACACCTAGGCTGGTTCCGAAGCTTGGCTATTGTGAATTGTACTGCTATAAACCTGGGTAGGCATTGTATTCCTACCATGTGCTGATTTTAATATTTTAGATAAATACTGAGCAGTGGTGTAGCTGGGTTATATGAATGGGAGTTACAGGAGTCTTTTATGAGGCTCTGGAAACAAGCTTCTTGATTGTTTTTAGAGCTGGACAAAGCAGCCAGTTTTAAAGAGGAAATCTTCATTGTGCGCAGTTTATCATCAAGGAGGGCTCTGTCATATTAGCCAAGTGTGATGGGGTCAGGAGCTGCCTAGGCCACTGATGAACAAAAGCAGCAAAGAACAGTGAGAATCTCATAAACAGAGTAATTGGCAAGCCTTTCTGCTACCAGCTCCATGCAACTTGCTGCCCCCACATTCCTCATAGTCTCTGGCATACCTGGTAATAAGGACAGCCACATCATGATGGACAGGATTGAGGTCACTCTTGGGATTGATGCTCTTCTGCCACTTGCAGAAGCTAGACAGTGTTTTCTCTGCATGGTGGATTATTTTCAGTCCTTGCTGGAAAAAAGAAGAGGAAGAGATCAATATGGGTGAGCTCACTGTGGTCAGGGCTCAGTGCATTAGGCTCCAGAAGATGAGATGAGCTCAGGCTGGGTACATCAGACATTTGGCAGGAATCTGGCAGAGGCCAGCTTACTCTTGTGGGCTAACTGTGCTCTAAACACTATTGTGCTCATGACTTCTACTAAAACTGCCTGAAAGGGGGAACTCCAGGAGAGAAATTATCACCAGGTCAAGCAGCCCTTGAAGAGAAATTAAAAACATATATTATCAAAGACCAACAATCATTTAAAATTCTATTTTGAGTGGCTCTCTGAATCCTAAACCAATACAATTAAAAAGAAGCACTTAAATTTCTAATGGAAAATGAATAGATTTTTTTTTTTTAAAAAAAGCTTCCTTATCTCATAAGTTATCCTTCAAAGCTGGGGCTGTACTGGGTTTTCTTGTCTACGGTTTCCATCTTGGTTTGACACCTGTGAGTAGAGGACAGGTGTAATATAATTTTTCTAGGCTCTGACCCATTAGAATAATTGGTCATCTGACAGCAATTAGGATGCTGTAGTTGATGCCCTCAGTCTGCACTTACAAAGGCTCTGAGGTCCAGCACAATCCCTGAGTCATATATTTGGCCCTCAGCTTCTATTGGGGATGGGAAGAGGATTGTTACAAATTAGCTGGATAAGAATGTGTCAAAGTAGGGAGAAGAAAAAAAAAACCAGCATAATCAGCTGTAGAAAGACTCCAGTCAAATATGAGTGTTGTCTAAAGGAAGAATTACTTTCCCTTCCTGCACTTCTTCAAGGCTTCTACATTAATTTATTGAAGGGCATGACTCGACTTTATGTACAACCAGAGAAATGAAAAACTGTGCTCCATTTGTGTACTATGAATTGAAATGCATGCTGCTGTCATGTATAACAAATTAGAACAAATTAATTAATTAATTAATTTGTAAAAAAAAAAAAAAAGGCTTCTACATAACCTGTTCCTGTTTCAGGGCGGATTCTCCTGGGAGGCTGACGATCTTCATTGGCCCACTCTCAGCTGGGACTATTACTATGTGCTCAGGCCAAGAGCTTCAGGAGAGTCTCTGCATCTGCTTGCTTCCCTACTATTCTATACTTTGCTGAGGTCTGCACCCAAATGAAATAAAACCTGAGGGGCTTCAGTTGCCTGTTAGAGCCTCTCCCATGTTCACCTACTCATGCTACTTAGCGACCACAGACCACCTTCCTTTTATGAAAACATAGGCAGTGGCTCATTGTGCATGAAAACTCACCATACAGCTTAGCATAAAGAATTTTAAATGAAAAAACAAACTGTCACTTAATTATCCTCATCACCAGCCACATGATCCAGCAGAATGAGGCATGGAGGAGGAGGAGGAGGAGTTCCAGGGGACCAGCCGAACATGGGGGAGCCAGTCTCCAAAGCAACCAGCCAGGCTGTGGGAGACCTGTGACCTTACCTAGATGGGAACAGATAGATTGTCCCCATCTACCATAAAGGACTGACAAGGTGTCATAAATCTGAATGGCAAGAAAGAGGAAGGAAGTGAAAGCCGAGAGAGAGAGAGAGAGAGAGAGAGAGAGAGAGAGAGAGAGAGAGAGAAAGGAAGGAAACATTTCTTGATTATTTACTATATGCTAGATGCTTTCATATGTTATTTCATTAAATTTAATCACATCTACCCTGCATTATTTAGCATTATTGTGTAATTTCATAAAAAGAGAACATTAAACTACCTCAAGGTCATTCAGCTCAGATTTTCAATTAAAAATGTGAGAACAAAGGTTCCTAGATGAAGCCTGTGGTTGTAGTTGGTCACTGGCTTCACTGGAATGGTAAACCCCTCAGACAGGAAGGCAGGGCATCATATAAAACATCAGCAATGATCAGACATCTTTAAGGTCTGTTTTTAACCCTACATTTCTTTCTTTGGTGGAGGGAGGGATCTCTGAGAGAACACTCATTAATTTGAAAAATATTATTACCATTTACAATTGTTCCATAGCAATGAAATACTTTTATAAAACTAACAAAACAGGTACAGAATCTGTATCCTGAAAATTACAAAATGCCATTAAAATTTAAAAAAAGACCTAAATAAATACACAGATTAAAGATTCAACTCAGTAAATATGTCCATTCTCTCAAAAATTAATCTATAGCTTTATTGCAATTCGTATCAGAATCTTGGCAAAGTCTTCTGTAGATATACATAAGGTCATTCTAAAATTTACATGCAAAAGCACAAGCCTCAGATTAGCTACAACAATTCTGAACAAATAAAAATAAAGTGAGATGAATCATTCATCCTGAAATGAAGATTTACTTAATAGTTATAATAACTAAGATGGCATGACATAGGTGCAGCAATAGACACACAGGTGAAAGGAACAGATAGAGAATCCCCAAACTGACCCACATTAGCTTGCATAACGGATTTTTGACACAGGTGAAAAAGCAATGCTTGAAGGGAAGATGGCCTTTTCCATAGTGGTGCTGGATGGCAATAAATAAATAACCCAGTTAATAATGAGGGAAACCATAAATACACACTTCTCAAAAGAAAAACATACAAATGGCCAATAGGTATCTCAAAAAGTGCTCAAAATCACTATTAGAAAAATGCAAATTAAAAATCACAAAGAGATATCACCTCAGCTGTTAGAAGGACTATTATCAAAATGATGACAGATGGGAATAGAAAAGATAGTAGAGTGAATTGGATATAACTTTCCTGTGTTCATATATGAATACACAACCAGTGTAACTCCATATCATGTACAACCACAAGAATGGGAAGTTATACTCCATGTATGTGCAATACGTCAAAATACATTCGACTGTCATGTATAACTAAAAATAAAAAATTTTAAAATGATGAAAATAAAAAGCATCAGCAAATGTGGAAAAGAAATTGCAAGCTATGGGTGGGAGTGTAATTTGGTTCTAACATTATTAAGAACAGCATGGTAGTTTATCAAGAAATTAAAAATAGAACTACCTTATGATCCAGCCATCCTGCTACTGAGTAGGTATCCATGGGAAATGAAATTGGTATGATAAAAAGACATCTGTATCCCTAGGTTCACTGAAGCATTATTCATAATAGCCAGACACGGAATCAGCCTAATCATCTACTAACAGAGGAAAGGAGAAAGGAAGTGTGGGATATATGCATAATGAAATACTAGTCAGTCTCCTGAAAGAAGGAAGTTCTGTTACTTGCAACAACATGGATGAACCTGGATGACTTCACATGAGATAAAATGATCCTTGCACAGAAGGACAAATAACATGGGATCTCATGTATGTAGAACTCAGAAGCAGAGAGCACAGGTTGGGGGTAAGAGTGTTGGAAGATGTTGATCAAAGGATTCAAAATTTCAGTTTAGACAAGAGGAGGAAATTCAAGAGATCTACTGTATGATATGGTGACTAGTTGACAGCAATGTTCTGTAGACTTCAGAGTCATCAAGAGCACAAATTTTAAGTGTTCTCACCACACAAACACACAAATTGTATGTAAGGTAATGCATTAGCCTGACTTTGCCATTTCACAGTGTAGACTTATTTCAAAACATCATGCTGTACACAATAAATTAAACAATATTTATCAACTTAAAAAATATATAGAGAAAGAAAGGGGATAAAACAGAAGCAAAAGTCCTGACATCACTTAAGACAAATCATACCAAATGTGAGAAAAAGACTCCAGTGGTAACTGCATATTATCTAGTTTTCTATATATTTGAGTCTCAGTGAGGTTGTACACAGTAATAAATCCACATGGCATGTGCTTATCACATACATCTTTTAAATTACTTCTGTGTACTTCATCTCGCTTGATATTGTAAACACTCATGAAGTAGTTCAGAGAGCAATGATTAACTCCCATCTACAGATGAGAAGAATGTTTTCTGTGGCGATTGGAATTGGTATAATTTGCAAATGGTAAAGCCACAGACAGCACCTAGATCTTAATATTTCTCTCACCAAGACTCACATTTGAAGAATGTATTCACATGTTATTATTATTTTATTTATTTATTCTTGTATCAGAATATTTCTGCATGGATGCAACTAGTTATATAAATGGTTAGATCTGGAATGTCATTTTGTATTTTTAAATCTTTTATGGGTCCTCCATTATTTTATTAATGCTCCAAAGACTCTATATCCTGTACAACTCCTGACTTTGCTGTGGTGGATGGGTATTCAAGACCTGATAATAATCTGAAAATTTACCAAACTTTCTTTAGATCCTCAAGAATGCCTAGCCTGACTCTAAACACATGTATCTGATTATGAACTACAACACTCACCAAACCCAAGACATTGTATTCTAAAGGCAGCTAGACAGCTAAAGATCTCATCAGCTCTCAAACATATCCTCCTGACAGTTGTCATCTGAACTAGAGTGGCCCTTCGCAACAGCTAAAGTCACACTTAACAGATTAGGCTACCAGAATCAAGGAAGGGAAGCTCAAAGGAAACGCTGGAGAAATCACTGAGATTCTAGTAATCCTTTGAAGGATTTCTTAATTTAATGTTGCCATGCTACTGCACCTGTCTGCCATGGCTTTCCATCCCAGTGTCTACATTTTTGTTCACAGGAAGCTAAGAAGCAAGGGCATCATAACAAACTCTCACTCCAGGAACCAAGAATTAAATGGTACTTGTGTTCTGAGATTCTTGGGCTCTCTGTCATGGTTTTGAAATGAGGCCTAGGGCTTTTTTCCTTGGTGATACTGATTTACATCACAGTTATGTCTTCCCTGAAGGATTCTAATAAGGTGGTCTAGTCATGCAGCTATTGAATTTGTTCCTCTCCCTTGCTCTGAAAGTCAGTTCCCATTTTTCAGACTTGTAAATTTCCCTTTGATTACACAATGAAGTTCAAGGATAAACATCTTGGTTCAACAGCAATCCAAGTTCTCTTTCTTTGTTTGAAAGGAGGAACTGCAGACAGAATGGGAACAGCTCAA